CTCCTGGAGACAGCCTGGGAATGGCTGCTTTGGTGCCATTTATCTATCTATCTATTTATTTATTTATTGGCACCAGGGACTGAACTGAGGGGCACTCGACCACTGAGCCACAACCCCAGCCCTGTTTTGTATTTTATTTTTTAAATATATTTTTTTTTAGTTTTAGGTGGACACAATATCTTTATTTTATTTTTATGTGGTGCTGAGGATCAAACCCAGGGCCTCATGCATGCCAGGCGAGTGCACTACCACTTGAGCCACATCCCCAGCCCCGTTTTGTATTTTAGCACCTCGCTGTTGCTGAGGCTGGCTTTGAACTCACGATCCTCCTGCCTCAGCCTCTGGAGCTGCTGGAATTACAGGCCTGCACCACCGCGCCTCGCCCTTTATTTTTTTATGTAGAGACAGGGTCTCGCCAAGCTTGAGGCTGAACTTGGAACTTCTTGCCTCAGCCTCCCGTCATCAGTGCCTTTTAAAGGAGCCAGAAGCCACCCCTGCCAAAGGGCCCTGTGTGTGGGTGTGCAGCTTGTCCACCAGCCTGCGGCTCTGCTCCAAACCTGCATCAGGGCTTCTGCCATGTGCAGCTTCCCTACTGCTCTTCCTACTGCCGATCTGTTTTATTTATTTATTTATTTATTTATGGTGCCCTGACTGAACTCAGGGACACTCAACCACTGACCACTATCCCCAGTCCTCACTGAGTTGCTCAGCACCTCTCCATTGCTGAGGCTGGCTTTGAACTCTCAACCCTCCTGCCTCAGCCTCCCAAGCTGCTGGGATTACAGGTGTGCACCACTGCGCCCAGCCTCTGTTCTGTTTTAAATTTGGTACAAACATGAATCACCTTGAGAACCTGTCCCACCTTATTTTAACCCTGGGCACCCCGGGATGTAAGTGGGTTTTGGCTCCCTCCTCCCTCCCTCCCTCCCTCCATTGTTCACAGTCCCAAGGGCAGAGGGTGGGGAAGGGATCAGTGCCTTCAGAGAAAGCTTGAAAAAGCAGAATGCATTTTGGGGGAAGGTACCAGCCCCAGGGACGCGTTAGGGCGCAGCCTCCAGTCTTCCCATTGGTTTGACACCAACATCCAGTCCTGATGAAGGGGGTCTGGAGACAGGGACTGGGACAGGGTTCTGAAGAGTCCGGCCAGGGCTCTGCCCGGGGCAGTCAGAGGGCACTGGTCCTTGAGCACCAGGGCACTGAGCTGTCCTGGGAAGGCCCTCCTAAGCTACTTCCAGAAGCCCAACAGAAAATGAATCCCCGCAGCTTTCATGACCCATTACTGCAGAGGACAAAAGGGGCCTTTTAACTTCAGTGTCCTTTTGTGGCCCTGCGGTGTCCCTCACTGATTTCACTCACTATAACCACCTGGGAGGAGAAGTGCTTAAGTCGGGGCCTGAGTGAGCCCTCGATACCCTCTGGAGCCACACAGAGGGGCTGCTCAGTGCCGGTGGCCTTTGCAGGTCTTGTCAGAGGACAGACAGACAGACACCAGCGGTGGGAATGTGAGGTGAAGGGAATGATTCTGCACGTGCGCCCACCGTGCGGACCCCCACATGCTTTCTTTTCCAAGAAGTAATTTATCCACGGCCCTGCCTGACCTCAGTGGACGGGCTCTGTCACCTTCCTCAGCAAACTATCCATTATCTGCAGGAGGAATTTAGGTCTGAAATGTCAATAAGAAGAACACAAATTACCCTGAAGGGAGGACTTTTGTGACCCTGTCACAGACCAGATCCCGGATTTCTGGGAGATAAGGATAATTTCCCCTAAGTGTAAAATTGGTAACAGATTCCGGTTAGAACAGGTCCACATGGGCCAAAGTGACCTAGAGTGGTCATGGCAGTGGGGACTTGAAATCTGATGTCATCCTGCTGTCAGTCAAAAGTCAAGAGGTGGACTGGGTGGGACTCTCTGGAAGGGGGCATGCCGTCCCTCTCCTCTCTGAGAGGACCCACCCTCTCCTTGAGAGTGTCCCTTTCCCGTGCCTCCCTCACGCCTGTCACTCTATGTGCTGCGTCCAGACTTTCTAACTTGATGCCAAGAATCGGAGCCGCCTCAGTTTCCCAGAAGTTTCCAGCCCCGTAACAGCCTCAGAAGAAAGGACAGCAGAGGCCAGGGAGGACATGTTCCACCTGGACATTGGCCCCTCGAAGCCAAGCCCCTGCAGTTGTCGACATTAGCTGGTTCTGCCCTGAGACCCACATGGTCCACCCTTGGCAGCCGACCTCCTTGTCCCTTGGTGGTCACCATTTCAGAACCAGTCTGTCTGTCTGCCTTCTGCCTCCTCCCTCTCTCCCTCCTCGGCCTGCCTCCCTGCCCACTGGTTCCATCCTGTCTCCTGGTCAGGGATACTCCGGCACTCTGCCTTCTGCTTCCACTAGAGGTCGTCACCGGCCCTGCTGACCTAGGGCTGGGTGTGGCCCAGGCAGGTGGGGGTGACTGAGGTGGCCTTGCGGCTGGTATTTCTAGACCTACCAGAGGAACCTGGTGCACAGGTTCCGGCCCCCCGCCCCAAGCCTCTGAGTCAGGAGTTTCTGGCTGTTGGGAACCACGGCTTCAAGAGGCCCCGGATACTGCAGAATACAAATGATCCTGCTGTTTCCAACCCATGTGAGGCAGAGCTCCCCACAGGGGCTAGAGGTGCGGCCAAAGCCCAGGCCACTGAAGCAGCTGCTAGCGGCAGAGAGAACAGAGCTGCCCCCGCCCCCGACCACAGCTGTCAGAGCCTCCGAGATACAGCCAGGCCCGAGAGCTGCCCGAAATGTCCTTCCTCAAGCCATCTTTTGCTGACAACCTAGATGGCAGGGTGGCTGCAGACTCCCTGGACCCCCCATCTGCTCGGTCTCACTGGGAAACCTGCATTCCCAATTGCTCGGAGGTTTGGGACCAGCCTTGGAGGCAGGTCCCACTCTGGAAGCTAGTTATGTGCACTGAGGGGAGGAGGCTGAGTGTGGCTCTTATGACCTCCCTCCTGCCCATCAGGGATCAAGTTACTTGGCATTGGCAGGTATGCTCTGGTCACACTTAGTGTAGCTCAGCAGGTGGACACTCTCCCCTGGTGGATAACTGTCTTTTTAAAACAGCCCTAAAAAGTCTCAGGAAACGGGGTGCAGTGGCAAATGCCTGTAATCCCAGTGATTCAGGAAGTGGGGGCAGGAGGATCAAAAGTTGGAGGCCAGCCTCACCAACTTAGCGAGGCCCTCAGCAATCTAGTAAGACTCTATCTCACAATAAAAAATAAAATAAGGGCTGGGGTTGTAGCTCGGTTGGTAGAACGCTTGCCTAACACATGTGAGGCACTGGATTTGATCCTCAGACCCACATAAAGATAAAATAAATAAAAATATTATGTCATCTACCACAAAAAAAATATTAAAAAAAATAAAATGAGTGTTCCTAGTTTCAATCCCCAGCACCAAAAATAAAGATAAAAAGGAAACAGCCTGTCGTGCTGGCGAACCCCTGTGATTCCAGCAACTAAGGTAGGAGGATTGCAGGTTTGAGGCCAGCCTCTACAACTTAGTGAGACTCTGTCTCAAAATAAAAATGGCTGGGAATGTAGCTCTTTGGGATTGCACCCGTGGGTTCAACTCCCAGATCCCTTCCCCCCAAAAAAACCCCCAAACCCTTGGGAAACAAGCCTGGGATACAGTCCAGTGGTATAGTACTTGCCCAGCATGCAAGAAGCCTTAGGTTCCATCCCAGTACGGGGATGGGGTGGGGGACTTTAGGAAACAGGTGTGGGCATGAACCAGTCATCTCACCACCCCAACCCAAAGGTAGGGGTGAAACTCTCAAAGCTGGCTGTGCACCAGGGCCTCACGCCACAGCCCGCCCATGGGTGCAGGACACTAGGGTCCCCACCCTTCACAGTTTTCCCGAAACAGCTCAGCATGGCCTGCAGCTGTACAGAAACCTGCAATTCCGGCCAGGCCAACAGGAGGACCAGCTTGAGCACTTGTGACAGGGATCAGATCACTGACCCGTGAACTTGCTCTGACTGTCCCACCTCCCCCGCAGCAGGGTTCCTGAGTGGCTAGTACAGCTGCCCGCTGAATCTGCCCAGAGAACGAAATTCCTACTTCCAGATCCTTGGGCCAGGAAATTCCTACTTCCCAGATCCTTGAGTCACGGAGAGGCCCGACTGCCCTCCCGGTGGGGGGAGGCACCTCCAGCTCAGGTCTCAAACCAGGCCTGAACAGCTGACTTAACTCTTGCCTCTCGGCCCAGGGGGCTGGTGACGGCACCAGAGCTTCTCTGACTGGGTCATCTCTCGGTGCAACAAAGGAGTCCAAGGATGCTACACCAGAAGCTACACTTTATTTAACATTTAGAAGATTAACATAGTTACAAGGTCAATGTGGGCCTTCCAATGGAAGCACTTTATTTGGTTTAATTCCATTTCCAGGGAAAAACAGGCAATTTCAGACCTTAACAGTGGCAAGGGGCGTTTACAACACTGAAATGCCTCCAAGTGTAGAGTAAGTGCACGCATGTGCGTGCACACACACACGCACACGCACACATACACACACACATATACACACGCACACACAAGAAGGTGTAAAGGTGCTTGACATCGGGTTAAAACATAATTGTGGATTTTTTTTTTTTTTTGTACTGAGATTGAACTCAGGGTGCTTTATCTGAGCTCTATCTCCATCCCTTTTTAATTTTAAGACAGGGTCTCGCTAAGTTGCAAAGGCTGGCTTCAAACTTGCAATCCTCCTGCCTCAGCCTCCTGATTCAGGTGGTGTGCCCCACCCTGCCCGGCTAGGATCATTTTTTTCTTAATTTCTTTTTATTAGTTGTTCATTGACCTTTATTTTACTCATTTATTTATATGTGGTGCTGAGAATTGAACCCAGTGCCTCCCACATGCTAGAGAAGCGCTCTACCACTGAGCCACAACCCGGCCCCGGGCTTGGATCATTTTTAAAAATAACGTGTGGGGTGTTAAAGCACAGGAGGCGGAGCCAGTAAGAAACATGAAACCACAATTTCTGGAAAAATCCTTGCATTATCGTAACATTTTATGTTGTGTGAACTTTCTGATGACAGATGTTGCGGAAAAGCATCAGCGGCCCCTGTGCTGTATGGGTCACGCGGTGGCTGAGCCCGAGGCTGAGCAGGACAGACCCAGAGGAAGATCCCTGCATGTTTTCCCACGCCTCCCCCCACCTCGCCCCCGTCCTGCAAAGGAAAAACCTGGGTAAATGACAAGTTCCTCTCTTTCCCTTTGTCTTTAGGTCATTTTCAGAGCAAGTTTGATAAAAACGATCCATTTTTACCTTACCACACTGTATTCTAGCAACGACGGGCAGCAGGTGCCAGGGAGGAGGGCGGAGCACCCACATCTCTCCTCCATGGGAGCTGCCCCAAGGTCTCAGGGATGCTTTCGCAGTGGGATTCCCAGAGTAGACGGTAGGACCTCAGCATCACAGAATCCCAAGCCCGTTGGCACCTACGGCAAGGAGGCAGCCCCGGGGGACGGCATTGGAAAGTGCTCATTCTCCAGTCTTTGGGGGCACGGGTGGTACAGACAGGCCACAGAGCGCACGAGCACATCCTGTACTGGGTCTCGACATTAAAGGAACAAAGAACCACGGTGACACTTCACCCCCTACGTTGCAAGAAACGAATCTACCTCGACCGCGATGTGAAACGGCACACGCACATGCATTACGGAGGCTCTAAAATCAGATTAAAAAAAATTAGCATCCTTGTGGAATGGTCAGTGGTCAGCCAGACTCGGCAAAGTCCAGGAGTCCCAGAGGTGCCGCCCGCCATGCAACGGCGGGGGTGGGGCTGCTGGGCGAGGGCTGGTCTGCAGCCGGGGCTGGGCCCTGACAGCGCTCACCTGCGGTCAAGCCACCCTCCCGCGCCCCCAGGCGTGGGCTGATTGGGCTGCCCACCCTGAGAGTGGAGGCCATGCTCCAGGTCCCCGGCCCTGGGCTCAGCCTCAGTTTTGGGGAACAGCGAGCCAGGGCTCCTGCTCCCCCTCCACTTGACCCTGACGCTGCTTCCTGGGGCTGCTCTTGCGGGCCTCTCCTTGCTGCGGTCTCCAGTCGCCAGGGGGACGGAGCTGCTGAGGCTGGTCCGCGGTCACCCCTGGTCTGCCCAGGGAGTCATCTCCTGGTTTCCAAGGAACAAATCACCAGCAGACAGGCCTGACTCCGAGGACCTGTCCTTTCCATCCCTGTCCCTGTGGCTCTTGCTAGGCTCCCTTGTCACGAACACCAAGAACTGTGGTGCCCCAGGTGAGCCCCGTGTACCAACCATACAGGACACTAGAGCGCGGCCCTTGCCCTCGGCGGGAGACACGGCAGGACTTGTTCCGCACCAAGGAAGAGGAGAAGCTGTGCTGCTAAGGCCTGAGTGGCCACAGGTTAGGTGACCACGGTTTCCCCCCTGAGATCCGAAAGGGGAGGGAGGAAACAGGTCCAAGGGCAAGTGCAGTGGCTGCCAATGGCCGGCAGAGCTCATGGACAAGGGCAGAAGCGGCGGCCACAGGGTCCCCAAAGGACCACGAGAGGCACCAGGTCTTTGGTGATGAATGCACTCAAGTCCTACAGTGCTACTCTTGGGATTCATGGGAAGAAAAGGAAGTTTCACTTTGCAATAATGAGCTACCAAAAGGAGAGTCACCCGGCCACCAAGTGCCACGCGTGGTCTGTAGTCATCATGGATAGGAAGATGACCAGGAGGGGTGAACCAGGATGCCCCTTATCTAAGGTGAACATGGGTAGGACGAGCTGGGGTGGGCTTTCAGTGTGGACCTTCCTAGCCTCTGCAGACAGGGCACCAAACTGAAGTGTGTGTGTGTGGCTGGAGTGGGGGACATCCAAGTCCGACCGGAGGGTCCAGGAATTGTGGGCAGGGTCCATGTGGAGCACGAGGTGCCAGCCCACAATCAGGAAGGCACCTCTGGGAGAGGAAGCATCTGCTAATGTAAGACACCAGGGGACGCGTGGGTGACACGTGGTGCTCAGCCCACCCTGCGACTGCCCTGTCCTCCTTGTTCAGATTCTGTTACTCGCCCCAGGAGACCAGTGGCGAAGTTTTCACAAAAAGGCACAGTGTGAAATGACGAGGAGGCCAGGGCACCATGGGTGGACTGGGGCCCTGGACAGAGGGGAGGGGCGAGGTGGGCAGCATGCTGCCACCTTCTGGCCTGGGCACGTGGGGACTGGGGGGATGAGGATGACCCCTGCTGTGCGGTTGGGGACACCTGTCCCCTCCAGGCCACCAGCGTGGGCCTCAGGGCTGGCTGAGCCACAGTAGCATGCTGTAGGAAGGACAGGAGAGGCAGGCAGGGTGGCGGGGACAGGGCAGCAGGTGGGCGGGAGGGCGGCCCCCAGCAGGCCGGGCAGCGGGCAGCAGCGCGGGAGGCCTGCGGAGACAAGCGCCCGGCCACGGGGGGGCTCCTGGGAGGCTCGCCGCGGTTGGTACTGGAACGCCACTTTAGGAATCTACAACACAAAAAGAGAAGAGAAAGCGCGTTAGAGAAGGTCGCGGCGAGAGGCGGGCACTTTGCAGTTCACTGCAAACTGCTCCGCCCTGGGCGGGGCGGGGCGGGGCTTGGGCAGCAATTGGTTATCAAGAGCGTCCTAGATAAGGAACTTTCACGGTTTTATCTCCAATCTTCAGCCAGTTTTACTTTGGGGTTAAGAGAAGCCCAAACCAGATCAAGGCCCCCCCCCCCCCCCCGTCCTCCTCCAGCGGGCAGGGCCAGTCTTGGCTTCCAGGGGCCGCTCCCCAGCCCCCGAAAGCATCCTTCCCTGGATGGTGCCAGGAAGTGAGTCTATCAGATGGAAACTCTAGGTTCCTCAGTGAAAAGGAAACCTCTTCAATTAACAGTGAAAGTTCTTCATCACGAGGAGGCAGAGGAGACACAGAATGGGCTCGGGAGCCCTGAGGGACACACAAGGCAAGGAGCAGGGCAGATGGCACTGGAAGAGGAGGAGGAGGCAGAATTTTTAAAAAGCATTTGGCTGGAAAATTTCCCATTACTAACAATGAAAGAGTTAAATACTCATTACACAGAATAATTTTCTTGGAAAAAGAGAAAAATCACTTAAAATACACAACACTGAGAAAATATAACGTTTATTAGAGAGGCAGATATGAGGGGTACAACTAGAAGATGCCAGACAGATTCTTTTCTTTTAGGGTAAGAGAAAGAAACAATCATGTTGGCCGTATTCAATGCAACTTACTCAGAACCCAAGAGTCTATAAAAACTCAAGTGCGGAGCAGCCAGCTGGGGACCCAGCTGGGGCAAGAGTCCTGGGGCCTCCCCAGAAGTTATAAAAACAAAAGGTCATTAGGCAGCAGAATAAACGATAAAACAAACAGATAAAAGAGTAAGACATTAAAACAACTAATTCAAGGCATCCTTTTTAGTTTTTAAATTGCAGTATATACAAATAAATTCCTAGGTGGGGAGAATTATGGACATGTTTAACAGAAAGCAATTTTAAAAACACAAAATGCAACCACATAAGGAAATCCCAATCCAGTTGACCAATTTACTCTAGTCTAAATATTTTGGCAATTATTAAATAAGCACATCGTAGACACCACACACACACACACATACACACACACACACACACACAGAGAAAAGTGCACTGGTATTATTAAAAAGAAAACAACTGCTTTGAGGTTTGGTATCAGAAAGCAGGGGCTGCCCCAAACCACGGGCTGGGGAAGGACATGCCATGGACAGGGGCTGGACGTGTTGACCAGCATTTTTAACCTCTAGGGGCCTCTTTCCAATAAAAGGAGAAGATCATAAACAGCTGAGATTTTGCTGCTTTTATTTAAATGGCACACTGATGGGAAGAAAACCAAGGGTACTTGGGGTGGAAATAAAAACTCTGACTCTTCGGCAATCGTTCCAATGTCTTCCAACATCACGCCCCGACAAAATGGAACCGAAACCACAATCTCCTTCTTGACTTCACCAGTGTGACCTAGGTTGATTTGCAATAAGTACTGAGGCGTAGATTTAGGCATTCAAACTGAACCCCCTCCCGGACCTGCGCTTTGCCTTGCAAGCCAACTGAGTTATTTCCAAATCAAGTCTGCACAACTCCAGGGTGGGGGTGGGGGGCCGCGAGTTCACTGAGTGGGATTGCAAGAGGCTAACACTGTCTGGCCCTGCTTTATTCGTTTTCAGTGTTCCTTGCTTTTGCTAGGAGCTCCTGGTCTGGACACAAGCTCAGCATGGGATGGAGGGGCAGAGGTTTTATGCCTAGGGGTCTCCGGGCTACCTGGTCACCTGAATGGAGCTGCTCACCTCACACTCACACCCACCCCTGGGTTTAAGGCTCTGCTGGTTTTCTCATGGCAGTACCTACAAAGCAGAACCGAAACCATTGCCCCAGAGAGGCCCCAGGGTGAGTGGCTTTATCAATGCTATGCCAGCTAAAGCTATTCGAAAGGAATTTGAACTACAAAGTCAATATATACATTGAAAAAGCCAGGTGAGCAGCCCGGCGTCCAGCCCGGGCCACCGACTGTCCCCGTGGCTACCGGGGCACACTGGGTGAAAGGCACAGGGATCTCTTTACACTGTCTTTGCAACTGCCTGGGACTCTGTCATTACTTCCAAAAAAAAAAAAAGTGTCTTTAAAAAAATCAGGTTGTCACTAAGTAAAGATCACTCAATTCCAATTTGGTGGCCCTTGTGAAATATAAGTGAAGTTGCTGCTGGAATCTTGGAACACAGCAGCTCCTGCCGGGTCCTGGACCTGCAGCTGCAGGGCAGAGCTTCAGGGCTGGGGGTGCGGCTCAGAGGCAGAGCACCTGCTTAGCATGCAGGAGGCCCCGAGCTCCAGGTTAGAACAACAACACAAAAAAAAGCTCTAAATTGACTTCAGCTTATAAAGTGAGCCCACCCTGCAGAGGCAAGGATCCAACTCCCTCCTTCAAAGTAGAAAGATATAAATAAATACATTTCAAAGTCAAATCCAAAGAGAACTTTACCCGGATGCTTTCATTCTGACCCATTTACAGCTGGTTCTCGGGGGCCTTTGGGGCGGATTCTCACAGCGGGCACAATTAATCACAGGACTTGGTATGCATGGAACCAACATCACTACCCGCCCTCCCGCCTCCGTGCCAACTTAAAAATGCAAATTCCCGCATGGCCCAGATTCCTTTAAAATGGTGGCAACAGTCAATCATATGAAATGAGCCAGAAATTCTAAAACCATTGCCCTTACATTGAAACTTTGGGTTCTTCCAGATGCCAATGACTTAAACACCCCCCTCCCCACAGTTTCCGCTTTGAAAAGGACTGTCTTGAGGTCCCTGTGCGGCAGTGGCTCTATTTCTAGCCCCTCCTGCAAACCCAGAAACAGAACCTGGCGGGAGCAGGCGAGGCACGGGCATCGCCCGCCCTTGAGAAGCTCATCTGGCCAGGACAGCGCTGGCACCTCGGTCAGCTGTCACCGGGGCAGAGCCTGGAGGCCAGATTTCCTTTGTTTTTTGAGGACCATGTAGACATAAAAGCTCAGGAGGACCTGACAGCAATGTAACCACATTCAAGTGAAAATACATGCGCTCGGGCCAATATAAGAACCTCATGACCTCTGTATTAGGGAGGGAAGATTTTATTTGTGACTTTCCCCCTGGACAGACTATGACTCAACAAACTAGCATAGTTGCATTTATCAAGTTACAGTGAGGCTCACATCCTCCTGCAAGGCCATCCAGGGCAGACACCAGATAGCAACAAGCCAGCCGAGGCCCTCTGGTGCCTCGTGATGTGTGTGGACTTTTTAATTGAGAAATATTAATTAAAAGCTTGAAGGCGACTTTTTTTTTTTTTTCCTCATTATCTACAGATGCTGCCAAAAGGAGGAATGTATTATCAGGTTTCAAGTGACACAGATATAAGTTGGCAGTTGGCAGCTTCACACAAAATCTCATCAGCAAGTGAAACTTGATTTTAGCCAAAGCTGAGACAGACAAGGAGACTCGGCGTGCGGGGCCCACGGTCCGCCGTGCCACCCCGCCATGCATCCGGTCCTCTGCGGGGCTGCCTGTAACAGTCACGGTTGTGGGGAGGGGCAACTCCAAGTTTTAAAAAAGTTTTAAGTGGTATTAAATATAAGTCTTAGCACCTTTGGCATTTTTGTCCAAATAGACTTCGACGTATGAGGTGGGGACATAGCCCTCTTCGTCCTCGTTCCTCCGGATGCGGGTCCACCCATCGCCCTTGTCTTCCTCTATGACGTACAGGATTTCTCCTTCAATTACGGAAATGGTTCCTTCATTCTGACCTGCAGAGGCAACATAGCAACACTTTAGATTTCTTGTTGAATCCCAACAGAAAGCCAGTGGGACCTTGGCCGTGGAAGGCAGTAGGCGTCAGTTCGGGGTCAGTTCGAAGGCCATCCCCTTAGACCTCCTGTACACAAGGTCCCTCAAAGCTGACCCCGAATGCTCTCCTCCCACCTAGAGACCTTCTGGGTCTTCCCCCCCCCCCCCCCCCCCCGTCCATCTCTGCAGGGAGCCCCTTTCTGCTCCTCCCCCTCCTGATCCTCCCCCTCCCCCTCCAGGCTTTCTCTTGGTGACCGTACCCTGACTCCGACTCCCTTGCCACAGTGTCCTCACGCAGTGTCCTACGCAGGCTTTTTCCTGCGGCTACAGTTCCACCTGTCCTGCCCTCTGCAGCAAGCTCCCTCTGGCTGTGGCCCTGGCCCCCGGGAACCTGCGGGCCACTCGGCTCCTGCTCCTCCCTCCCCATCCCGCTGGACACCCCGCGGTCCTGGCGGCAGGGCTGGGGAGTGCCTCTCATTTCCTCTCCTCTTGGTTCCTGAGTCTGAGCAGCCTGTCCACGGCAACCTCTCTGTGTCCACTTGCTAAGATCAATTACAAAAGGCCAGCCACCGAGGTCCAGGCGGTTTTCTGAAAGACCAATAGCTTAGGGACCTGTTGGTAGGGTGACAGGGTGGATTGGAGGCGGCATGGCAAGCAACAGCGGAAATGGTGAATCTGGTGCTTCTTTCTCATTTTGTAAACATGGACTTTTAGCCTGTTAAAGGCTCTGAAAAGTCCTGGCACACCTGCCTGTGCCAGGCATGGTGGCCCAGGCTGAGGCAGGAGGACCATGAGTTCAAAGCCAGCCTCAGCAACTTAGTGAGGCCCTAAGCAATTCAGCAAGATCCTGTCTAAATATAAAAAAATAAATAATAAAAAGGGGCTGGGATAATCCCTGGAGAAAGAGGAGCATTTAGATAGATTTAGATTAAAAAAAAAACCCACTGTAAAACTCATTTATCTGAGGGCTTCCCAAACATACCGAGCTCAGAGTTTCTTTTCCTAGTGACCCTGTAACATTCTTAGAAACATTACTTTGAAGCTGTACATTAGAAACCCCAGGTGGGTCTGTCAGTCCATTCTGTGCGCTGACTGCCTCCCCTGTTGCCCAGGGCCCGGCGCTGACCACGTCCACACCCTGCCCAAATCCTTCCAACAGGTCCTCAGTGTCTGACAAAATCTAATGCTCCTCTCTCCGGCCATGGCACGGCCACCTTCCCTCTAACACCCCACATCCCACTACCACCCCTCTACCCGGAGCCCCTCTTCCTCCCTCCAGCCCCACTCTGCTCCCCCTGGGAGGGGCTCTCACTCTCCAGGCACCGGGGCCGCCCAGGACCCTCCTTTGACAGGAAACCCCTCTGTTGTGGGGGTCTGCTCTGCTTCCCCAGGGAAGGGGCCACTCCAGCCACCTGCACCCACACCCTCCTGGCCGGACAGTCCAGGACTCTGCAACAGTCCTGATCCCACACCCTCTGCCCCAGCTGTTAGGTGCCAGGGACGACAGTTCGGGTGAGAGAGACCAGGTCTGGGAAGCTCTAGGGAAAGTTCTGGTCCCAGGAAGAGCGGAGCGGCCCTGCCCCAGGGAAGGCAGCAGAGGCCCGGCCGCCCGGGCTACCTTCAAAGGTGTAGAGGGCCTTGCAGGTGCCTATGGCGGGCAGGGGCTCCTCGTCATCAAACTCGTCGTCGAAGTCGGTGGCCAGCACCTTCACCTCGTTCTCCTGGCTTCGCTCCTCCGTGTAACTGCCATCGGGGCTGCTCAAGAGAGGAAGACCCGCAGCAACTATAGCGACCGCGACCGTGACGGCAGGCAGGGAGGCGCTCCCTGCCCCCACAAAGGGTTCCCACCCTGTAACGCGCCTGCCACGCTGGCATGACAGGACCCTGTGGTGGCAGAGCTCAGCCCCACTGTGGGGGGTTCACAGGGCCCTGGTATCCACATTTCCAGATGCCAGATCCAGGCACACACCCAGCGCCCCGCTCCCGCCGGGCGCCGCTCAGATACTGTACCTCTCGCGGTCCTGCACGCAGCTGTTGGCCGTCGGGGTGCCCTGGCCGTTGTACATCCCGCTCTGCCGCCGCGCCTGCTCGCCTCGCGCGGGGAGCCGGCCTTCCACCTCTGCCAGCCAGGCCTGGGGACGACAGCCAGGACGACTAGGGCCTGAGCTCCCAAGGCGGGACAGCCACGAGGCCCCAGGCCACCAGGTCTGCACGGGCCTGTAGGTGACGGGGACCCCAGGGTGCTGCACCACTGAGCCGCATCCCCAGTCCTTTTTACTTTGGAATTTGGGATCCTCCTGCCTCAGCCTCCTGAGGATTGCAGGAACAGGACCACAGCGGGGCTCCACCGCTGGCTTTTTATCCAAGTTTCAGAGCCACATAAGGAAGCTCCTATTCACCCAATTTCCCCCCGTTGTGGCAAAAAGCACACTGGACTAGCTTTACCCTTGGGACCTAAGCAACTGTGTGGCCTTGGATGAGTGACTGACTTCTAATGCCCAACATTCAGTGCCCTGGCCCCCGGCCACTGCTGCACCTGGGTTGTCTGCTTCCTACCACCCATTCCTGAAGCAGCCTGAGAAGGGACGTTGGAGTCCACCCAGGGACACAGGAGTGACATGGCCGCTCCCTGTGTCTGCTCCAACACCTGCTTTTCCGTACCTCAAATTTCTGGGCCTCTAGTCTCAGCTTCTCTATGTTTTGGCTGACTTCTGTCAGTTTGTGATCCAGACTGGCCGGGTCTCCCATCTGCGGGTTCTTCAGGTAGACGTCTTTCATTTTGGTTATAGCGTCTCTGAAAAAATGAATGAGCAGAACATGGTCCCAGCCGCCCGGGTCCCAGGGGCCACTGTCCCCCAGGCACTTCCTCCCCACTCTTTGAAAACCAAGTGACTGGAGCTGGGGGCCGATGAGACCTGCATGGATTTGAAGGGGCTGCGGGGGCCGCTTTCCTTCTAAAACCTTTCCATGTGAATTCTACTCCCAAGGTCTGTATAATCCAGGTCTGACTTAAAATCCCAGTTGCTTTGGCTGAATAAATAAATCCCCATTGTCTTCAGTGAAGGAGAAACACCATCCATCCTGCCCCTCCCTCGACCCTAAACAGCAACACAAACAAACAACATCCAAGTATTTCCATGTGGGCGCTCCCTGCGCTGACCACAGCTCGGGCTGGCCCCCTGGTTTCCGTGGGCTGCCCTGTGCTGATCTCAGGGAGAAGCACAGCTCGTTGCTTTGCAAATTTGATGAGGAAACATTTCAGCTAGGAGACAGTGCTGCTGCTTGAATCCACAGCTGGTCATGCCAGGCAACAGAGCCTTAAAGTGCACATTCCAAAATTCCACTCCCTTCCCCAAATCCCATTTTGGAAATGGCCCCTAGGAGCCATAGTGAGGCTTCCCAAGAGCAGCCTGCAGGCCTGTTGGGGCTTCTCTAACTACTAACTAACCCTGACCTCAAGGGGCTTCCCCAGCTGCCAGCTTATCATTAAGACAGGAAAGAGAGGAAGAGGGTTGCAGCCACCTGCCTGCTCCCATCAGGCCTGGGCGGTCGGCCTCCCCCACATGGCCATTGTGAACTGTCAGCTCCTCCTGGGTTACTCTCCAGCAGAGCCTGAGGTCCACTTGGACCACCAGCCTCTTGATCTGGCTCTATTTTCTTTTTTCCCAATAGCATGCACCAATGGCCAGTGTAATAGAACTTGCTATGATGACTCCGGTGTTCTGTGTCTTTTCTCACTGGAATAGAAGCTCTCTGAAGAGCTCAATGTTATTCTAGCTTGATGTGTGTCCCCAGTGTCAGGCCCAAAGCAGATGTTCAGTAAAGACCTGTTAAATGAATAAACGTTCAATGTCATCCACCCTTATGAAGCTCTTTGCAAAACCCCTTTCTCAACCTCATGGCTCCCCTTTCACCCACTGCCCTGTTTCTCAGAGTCCTCTGAAGAGTTGTCACAATCCACGATCTTCAGTTCCCCTCCCAGTCCAGTCTCTGCTGATCAATCAAACTCTCCAAAAGCTTATCAAGTTTATAGTTTGGTTTTTTGTTTTTTTTTTTTTGAGCTGGGATTAAACCCAGGCCCCGCACATGATATGAAATCTCCCTACTGCTGAAATGCATGCCCAGTCCCAATTTTATTGACTTTTGTTGTTGCTTTTTGTACTGGGAATTGAACCTAGGGGCATTAAACCACTGAGTTACATCCCCAGAACTCCCCCCTTTCTTTTTTTTAATACCTTCATTTTATTTATTTATTTTTATGTGGTGCTGAGGATCGAGCCCAGCGCCTCGCATGTGCTAGGCGAGCACTCTACCGCTGAGCCACAATCCCAGCACCCACTTCCGAGGCCCTAAGGAACTTATTGATTGATACGCTGTCTCAAAATATTATATAAATGCATGGGAATATTGCATGATACCCAATAATATGTATAATTTTTATGTATCAGTTGAAGAATACATTTTAAAGAGAGTACAAAGCAAAAATTCCATTTTGTGTAAAACAGTTAATTATAGGTGTTCCTATTTTTTTATACTGTCACCATGTTTAAAAAGTGACCTGTGTTTAGGAGCTGCTCTACCAGAGATAAAGGAATTTTTTTTTTTTTTTTTGGTACCAGAGATTGAATTCAGGGGCACTTGACCCCTGAGCCACATCCCCAGCTCTATTTGTATTTTATTTAGAGATAGGGTCTTGCTGGGTTGCTTAGTGTCTCACTGTTGCTGAGGCTGGCTTTGAACTTGTGATCTTCCTGCCTCAGCCTCTGGAGCTGCTGGGGTTTCAGGTGTGTGCCACCGTGCCTGGCAGGAATTATTCTTTAAAATGAACTTTTGTGTGCAATTAGGCTGTTATTCTCTAACCAGGTTAGTTTGCATTGTTTGGTTGTATGATTAATTTTCTTCTTCTTTTGCAGTGCTGGGTTTGAACCCAGGAACTCATGAATGCCAGGCTAGTGCTCTACCACTGAGCTACAGCCCAGCCCTCGGCCCATCTCATAGAGCACTAAATCTCAAATCAACAGATGATTCACCTAACTCACTCAGAGGACAGGCAAGGTGGGAGAAGATTAATAAAGCGGTCTTTCAATCAGGATGATTAGCAAACTGCCCCGTGAGGTGTGGCGAGCTTGATTCTGAATGTGGGCAGGGCGAAGTCAGCAGGGCCACGGGTGTGCAAGGCCCGGGGCTCAAGGCCCTGCACCGATACACAGCAAAGAAGGAATGCGCAGGACAGATGGCAAAAACAGATTTTTTTTGCGTATACATTAACTTATCATCCCCGAGATCAAACTCATAAAACAGCTCAGCACCCGGGCACCCGGCGGCAGCGGAGCCTCAGGCCAACTCTTTTTAGAACCCAAGAGCAGCTGGCAGCGTGCGGTGGGGCTTCCCGGGAGTTGTTTCCTAGAGACCAGCAAAGGCGACCTGGGAACGGAGCAAGGCTGCTTGTCCTCGGATAGGAGGACAGTAGATCTGACCCAAAGCTGGGTGGGGAAGGGAGGGGGAGGGAACCGAGCCTCTTTCTGTTGGTGCCAAATATTCACTTGTGATAAAAGGAGGTGTGCATTTTGTTTCCAAAACCCAGAATAAAATCTGGGTTTTTATTCTTGGAAGAAAGGGAATCTCCGAGGTGAGAGTTAAGCAACAGCAGACTATGACAAAACACAGCCGAACCCGAGCTTCGTCATACATCACATCATCCACTCTACCTTTGATCCATCTCCTTTTGAATTTCTTTATTTAGTTCATCGACTTTCTGTTGGAGCTTTTTCCTTCTTTGTTCAGGGGGGAGGTTGCTGAAGTCCTCGGGGGTGGCGCCCTGCAGAGGCAAACGTGAGTGAGAGGCCAGGAAGCAGAGCGCGTCTGCGCCAGGCCACAGACACCTCGCGCAGGTGTCTGCAGATGGCTCCCCGAAGTAAGCAAAGCCTCCCCACCTCACCCGCTAGGATGCGAGGATCAGTGCATGCAGACTCTCACGACCACCCACGCTCCACGCCATGGCGGAGGTTTGGGAAAGGGAAAGAGCAACGAGGAGGGAGGGAGGGGGGGGGGAGAAGGCTCGGACTCCAGCGAGACGGTGAAGAACAGCTGGAGTGGAGGTGGGTGTTCCTCTCTCCTCTCTGTTTTGGTACCGGGATCGAACCCAGGGGTGCTTAACCACAGAGCCACATCTCCAGCCCTATTTTTTTAAAACATTTTTTGTGTCAATTTTATTGAGGTACAATTAGCATACAGTAAGATTTGCCAGTGTGTGTGTGTGTGTGTGTGTGTGTGGTGCTGGGGATGGAACCCAGGGCCTTGTGCATGCGAGGCAAGCACTCTGCCACCTGAGCTCTAACCCCAGCCCTCACAGCCCTATTTTGTGTTTTATTTAGAGACAGGCTCTCACTGAGTTGCTTAGCACTTTGCTTTTGCTGAGGCTGGCTTGGAACTCATGATCCTCCTGCCTCAGCCTCCAGGCTGGGACGACAGGTGTGTCTGTGGCCCTTTTTATTGGTTATTTTGAGACAGGGTATTGCTGAGTTGCTTGCAGTCTCACTGAGTTCTAGGCTGGCTTTGGACTTGTGATCCCCCTGCCTCAGCCCTGGATCACAGGTGCGGCCACCCTCCTGCTGGGGGCAGATCCTGGTGGGTCTTCCTGTGGCCCTGCCTGCAGCAGCCCTGCTGAAGTTTCTGTTTCCTTAATGTCACCCAGCGGGGCTCCCACCCACCCACCGCTTCCCAGGACCCTGCTGTTTTCCCCTGGTCCTGTGACACAGGGGGCCTCTGGTGCCTCAGAGAATGGGTGAAAAGGACAAAAGTCCACCCTCCCCTGCCGTGCTGTCCTTCTGCTGTCTCTCAGGTCTGGTCACTTTGCTGCCTTAAGGGTGGCCTCAGGGCATTTGGAGGGAGCGCCCCTCGACCCAGCTCCGTGCCCAGCCCGAGCCTACTTGCTAGAAAGCTGCGGCCCGACTGTGGCATCCAGGGCTTTCCCTTAAGGGAGGCTGTTTCCACAAAGAAAGAGAAATGCAGACAGCAGAGGATAAGCCGGGAATCGAGGGAGAGATCGCACTTGAAAACCTCCATTCTTTTAAAATAAGGGCAAGGCTGGCTGGGGCTGGGTGGCAAGAGGGGGCGGATAATGTCATCCCACAATCAGGCTGGGCCGGCCAAGCAGCTTACTGGGGGCTTGTGACTGATTATGACAAAATGGCAGGGGGCCACGCTGCAAAGTGCGTGACTCAGCAAATAGCTGGCCACCAAGGCCCGTGAAGGCCTCGGCTACTGTTCTCAGACTGGCCCGTGACACACTGGGGCTCCCACTGGGGCTCCCACTGGGGTCTGCGTGAGAAGGTTGGGGGAGGCCGGATTCGCGTTCCCAGCACCAAGCCAAGCAGGTTCCAGTGGACGCCCAAAAGGAGGTGAAATGAGAATCATCTTCAACATAAGAATAAAGCAGGCCTGGGGCTTCTTTCCAGACGCTGTAGCACCACCACTGGAACCCAACTGCTCTCTGCCTTTTCTAGTTCAAGCCCTGGACTAGAGGGAGACGCTGTGCTCAGCTGAACACCCACAGCAGGTCCGGTGTTCTCCAGAACTGAGACTTTCTTTTCTTTCTGTACAAGGGGCTGAACTCAGGGCGCACTACCTCTCAGGTACATCTTCAGACCTTATTATTTTTATTTTGAGACAGGGCCTTGCTAGGTTGCCCAGGCTGGCCTTGAACTTGTGGTCCTCCTGCCTCAGCCTCCTGAGTTGCTGAGATTACAGGCGAGGGCCACCGGGTTGGGTGGATTTTTTTTTTTTTTTTTAAAGTCAGAATTAACAACAACAACAAAAAATACGCAATGTAGGACACAGTGCTTCGGAAGTCGGGACATCAGGTAAGTGGTCACGTTAACATTTGCTGGGCCGAGGGACGTGCCCCGAGTCCCACAGAACCCTCTGGGTGACGGGAATGTTCTATAAGAGCACCAGCCACGCAGCTGGAAGGACCATGGGCCTGGACTGTAAAGTGTGCTTAGGACAGGTGTCGGAGGTACGCAGTGTGTGCACAGCCAAAAAGGAATCGGGAGGCCACGCACACTGTACGGATGACTTACAAATAGATCTCCTGAGTGACAAGAAGCCCACAGATTCTTTAGCCAAAGCAGAACGATGAAGTGATACAGGAATGGATTCTTTTCAACTGATAAGATAGCTCATCAAATCGACCACTTAGGTCCCTTTCAATAAACAGTCTGTGCTTCTGTGTTGTTACTCGGGAACCAGTCTCGTAGCTGGGCATGGAGGTGCACACCTGTAATCCTAGTTACCGAGGAGGCTGAGGCAAGAGGATTGCAAGTTGGAGGCAGCCTCAGTATCTTAGCAAGACCCTGTCTCAAAATACAATAAAAATATGGGCGTGTGGTTCAGTGGTTAAGCACCTAACAAAAAACCAGTTCCAGTAACTGTGCCTCAAACAAATGTCAGTTGCCATTGGAGATTCAGCTTCTTCTAAATCCAAAGGAACTCAAGCTTTGTGGAAGTACCTTACAAGGCCACTTCATCCAATTAGCCCTTCAGAGCTTGGGTTCCTTTGAACAATACTCTGACCTACGATTCATTTTGCCATGCAGGAATTTTTATTTCTAACTCTGAGTCAGAAGAAATTTCTCTGCCATCTTTGGAGCAGCCCCGTTGACGGAAGCAGGCGGTACCAGGAAGGACCTGTCCTACCGGGCACACCTAGGGAGGCTGTAAGTGGCTAGAGTTCTGTGTGACGCTGATCTTGTTTCACACACTAGTTGAGCCCCACACTTGCCCCTGGGCCACTCCCTACAGGTGACACAGCCCCGGGTTCAGCAGGCTCTGGGCAGTCTGGCAATGCTTACACTTCACAGGTTTCTAGGAAGGGGTGTGGAGCCACAGCTCAGTACCTAGTGAGTAAGAGGATTTCTATTTCAAACAGATTGCCCCCAAAGGACTGCCTTCCCCATCCACAGCAGCAAAGAAACAGAAGAGGGTAGAAGGGAACCCTGCCATCTGGGGAAGGCTCCAGGTCAGTCAACTCAGTTTTACCCAAATTCAACCTGCAGACAGACACGTTTCATTTTTCTTTTTAATAATTCCAATCAAAGGCTCTTGGGATTTTATTTCACAGTCTGAGATATGTTTTTATTTTATGTATTTTATTTTTTTTAATTTATTTTTTAGTTATACGTGGACACAATGTCTTTATTTTACTTTATGTGGTGCTAAGGATTGAACCCAGTGCCCCACACATGCCAGGTGAGTGCTCTACCTCTGAGCCACAACCCCAGCCCTGAGACATGTTTCTAATAAATATTTTTTTTTCTTTGTTTCTGCTAAGACGTTGAGGCTGGCCTCTAACTTGCAATCCTCCTGCCTCAACCTCCCAAGTCGCTGGGATTATAGGTGTGCACCTGCACATTGGGCAAAATATTACTATATTTTTTTTAGGGTTGGGCCAGTTGCCAAACACTGAGTCAGGCTGGAAACACACATGTGTCTACAGACACATACATGGATAAGTTACACATGAAGGTCAGCACCGTAGACTGCCCTGGGCCGGCAGCAGCAGTGCCCCCACTGTGCTGGTCTGATTCCTGGCTAACCGGCCAGTCCCCTGCTGTCCACGACTCGAGGATGTTCTCACCTGTGGCATTTGGCAAGATCGTGTAGCCTTTACCCATCACTGAAGCAGAGTTATGGGTTACGTTGGTTAAGCGTTTCTTTTAATAAATTTAATGATTAGTCTGCCCGTTTACCAGAGCAGAGGAGGAACAGCACAGGACAGGGCTTAGGAGGGTCTCGGCACTGTCCGGAAGGTCATCCCGTGGCCTTCAAGTCAGCTCTGCGCGAGACTCCAGCATGTCCACAGGGCGCCTTCCCTTCTCCAGGCGCCTGGAACCCGAGCAGGCGGGTCGCTGCTGCGAGTCCCTTCGGGTTCCAGTGTCTCTCAGCTGCTTCCTCAGCTTTAGGAGGGGAGCATCTTTCACTTAGTAAATTTGCTTTTGTTCCATAATGGTCCAATAAGTGCCCCCCTCCAATTTTGGACATTCCCATAGAGAGCTCACCACCATGTCACCCTCTTAGGGCCCCAATGACACAGAGAACCAAATCATGGGTTAGGTATTAATTTCCTTAGCAACTGGAAGAGATTAAGACCACCACTATTAGGCCCCGGACCTCATGCCCACAGGTCAAGAGCTCCCAGGAGGAACGGAAGGAGCAGTTAATCTGGGGGATCCGGAGCGAAGGCCCCGCCTCCGCCACGCACCCAACACCTGATTAGATCAGGACATGCACGGGGCGTTGTGCTTACCAGCTTGAGAGAAAGCTTCCCGTGAAAATTGAAGAGGTGACAGGGAAAAAGAGAGAGAGAACAACACATCAGAACAGGAGGCCCGGCCCGTGTCCACATCACACACCACAGATTCACCCGCGGGCCGCGAGGACGACCTGCAGCGGATCTGTGCAAAGGTTCACAAGAGGGTCTGACCCCAGCAAAGCTTCTCCTAGCTGCTGCAGCAACGGCAGAGGCAGAGGCTTAAAGGAGAGTTTCTGCTACAGTCGGCATTGTCCCTCGGCCTGGGTACGGATAGCAAGCTTGTACTTGGATGATGGGGGAAAACAACAGCCACAGGGCCAACCCCGCCCCACGGCTTTGCACAGGTCTTATAAAGTCTATTCTTATCACAGGGGACTCGAATGGACGTGAACCATGGCGTTCTGTAAAGGCGTGAAGGGGAGCTCTGAACTTAGTGAGAGGGAAACAAGGATTAGAAATTGTTCTATGAAATGACCTGCAGGAGCCAGTCCCTGTGTTCTAGAGAG